CGTGGCTGTGAACTGGCTTCAACGTTGCCGCCGTGTTCAGACGTCCTCGGAAAGTCACAGTCGTCGCCACGACCCCGTCCGGAGGCCTGTCCTCGCCGGGAGTCGGTGAACAGAAGGGTGGTCCTGGGACCCCCCCCCAGCACCCCAAGTCCCGCTAACATTCTTTGGGGTGAAGAGACAATACTGCACGTTTTGGGGAGAGGAATGTGTAACTTCTTCATGACCGGGGTCCATCGTAATGAAAAATCACCTGCTCCCCATAAACCCATGGCCTTAACGGCAGCAGGACCCCAGTGATTAAAGCTGTGAGACCTGGAGCTGAAGCCCTGTCCCACCCAGCGCGGTCACCTCTCTTTTTTTGGCTCTAACTTGAGAAACACCAAAGACGAAAGGAAGAGAAACACACCGTAATTTTCCCCGGCCGCATCCGACTTCTCAACCTGGAGCCTCCGAGTGACTTTCGGACAAATTTCAATTTCTTGGTAGAGCTGGAAATGACAAAGGAGAGTCTAATTAAGGTTTCGTTACAGACGTTTTAGAAACGGTCCTGGTTCTGTGAATCTGTTTCCTCACGACTGACGCTTGGAAGCAAGTTTTCACCCCACCCGTGTTTCTACGGGTCGCTTAGAACCCCAGCAGCAGCGTGTGGCTCCCGCTCCCGAGGGACCCTCGGCCTCTCTGTGCGACCAGGAGCCTCCTCACCCTGCAGCTGCCGCGGGCCTGAAAAATAACCCTGAAGTCATCGAAATCGCCGGTGCTGGGGAGAAATGATGAAAGTCAGGGACAGGTTGGATGGAAATTAGGCTTTTGGTGGTGAGCACAGTGGATAAAGCCATCGAATTACATACAATGCCCAGCACCTGACACACTGTGTTATTAACCAAGTCACTGCAATAACAAATTAGTTAATTAAATAAATATCAAAATGAAAAGGTCAGGAAGAGGTGGCCGAGATCCCGCCGCGGGCTCCGTGGAGACGGGGGAGGGTCTCCCTGCTCTGTCCCTTCTGTCCACACCCCAATCTGCCGCAGAAGTTCAGGGCAGGACAGGGAGACGAATTACAGCAGAAAACAGACAATTATATAAATAGGGGACATTCCGGTTTTTTAAACTTTTTAAATTTTTTTTTTAATTTCAGAGAGAAGAAGGGAGGAGAGAGGGAGAAACATCAATGATGAGAGTCATGGGCCGGCTGCCTCCCCCACGCCCCCCGCTGGGGACAGAGCCCGCAACCCGGGCCTGTGCCCTGACGGGGACTGAACCAAAATCAAACCATGACCACCTGGTTCACAGGTCAACACTCAACCACTGAGCCACGCCAGCCGGGCAAAGACATTCTCTTTCATCCACCGGACTGTACCAACATCACCTAGAAAACCTAAGCTGACCAACTCTCTAGAAACCCAGAGACACCGAGGCAAAGAGATGAGAGAAACCTGCAGTTAACATGTCAGAAATTTATTTCCATTAACACAATGGCTCTCACTCTCTGCGTCTGGGACTACCATCACCAGGGACAGTAACTTCTGAAGGTTCTGCCACGTCCCCTTGTCCCCACACTCGCTCTCTGACACGACAGGGCCCCCACGTTACAGCCGACGGGAACAAGGCTGAGGAGGGAGGACCGTCTTGCCGAAGGTCACAGCCCGGATGGGCGAGCGGGGATCTGAGCCCAGGTCTCTCCACTGCACCGAAGTGCCTCCCAGGCCACCTCCTCTGAGACTCAATCCCTTCCCATGTAGGCAGGCCAAAGGCCACTTCCAAAATCTACGATAAAAGTTCCAAAACAAATAAACGTGTCAGAGGCTCACGAGGAATTTTTAAATTGCCATTCAGTGTTGCAGGGCACTAACTAAAAAGGAGCCTTGGTCTACACTTGCCCCACCTCTGACAACACAGCCATTCACTCAGAAACCATTCGACCCCGGCAGGTGGGAAACGATGCCAGCTTCTCTCTGCCCACTTTTTTCGGGCATCTGACGGGGCGAGGGGAACATGTTGAGGATTCAGAAGACTGGAGAAGAGTCTGCGAGAGCGAGCGAGCGAGCGAGGGAGGGAGATGGGGGCAGGAACCCGACCACGCAGCCCAATCCTCTAGCAAACCCTCCTATAGCGCAATTTCCACCAAACGCAATGTGTTACAGGCGTAACTTCGTGGGGTTTTATTGTTACACTTCAGAAATCGTTTCATACAAATAAATTCTGAAATTAGAAGAAATCTGTTATAATACTGATCCTTCGTTCAGAAAACATGGTCACCGAAGTTGTAAACACCGAATATTATGAAGTTTGTGACACGTCTCGTAAGGCCACCGAATGCTCCATAAAACGCTGTGTCCAACGTGTCCTGGGCCTTCGATCTGTCAACTTCCTGAAGAGCCCGGCTCCTCCCCTAGGGGGCAGTAGGTCACTGTTTGTTTTAACCATCTCGGGAAAGTCTCGGTGGTTTTCCAAAGGCCCCGTGGCCTGGGCTGGTGGGGAATTTTCCTGTCCTTCCCAGGGCGGCCCCTACTTTGTAACTGGTTTCAAAGTCTCCGGGTACTTTTCCCATCTCAGACAGTTAATTTAGAGTCATACAGACAGACCCCTCGGCCACAAGACTTTTTAGGCTAACATTCAGCGTAATAAAAAAGCACCACTGAAATACGTAACTTTTAAGAAGGGTCTGTGCTTTAATATATTTTCCACGTACCCACAATACCTGAAACTGGAAATTCTGAGAGTCAGTATTTTATACATAAACATCCTTGACAAGGAAGCGTCACACACGTGCCCTTTATTTTATCAAATCAGCAGTGTTCTGTGTTTTCTCTCTCCTCAAAAGCCGGATTTAAAGATCATCAGACTTGAAAAAAATAATAGGTACCTGAATTACGACACAACCGAGACCATTTCCTACCACGTCTCCCTGGGTGCCCTGGGCCGAGCCACCATCACCCCCACCTGAGCTACAGCTCACCTGCCTCCTGCGGGTCCCAGCTCCTCTTACGCCCTGAGGTCCACCGGCCGCACGCCAGCCACCGCGAGCCTATTACAGCGGAGTTAACAGCGCCCTTCCTCGCCTGAGGTTTTCCTCCTCACTGAGGCCCCGCACGGCTGGCCTGCTCCCCTCTCCCTCGCCGCCTGAGTCCCCTGACCCCCGCCCTGCCCACGGATCCTACCCACACGCCTTCCTCCCAGACACCTCCATGCTCTCTCCCCGTTCAAACATTGCGTCTGAAAGAGCAGAGCCAGAAGCCGCCTCCAGATGCCCCGTCGATCCATCCGTCCGCCTATCCATCTCTCTCTGCCAGGACCTTTTCTTTCCGAGCTCTTAACATCCCCTAAAATATTACACGTGTTTACGGTCTTATTTCTGCCTCCACAAACTTCAACGTCGCTTCTAGAGGAGCAGAGATCTGTGTGCGTGACCCAGAGCCCAGAGCAGCCACAATGGGGCCCGGCTGCCGGTTCGATCCCCGGTCAGGGCACATGCAGGAGGCAGCCGATCGATGTTTCTCTCCCTCTCTCTCTCTCCTTCCTCTCCCTTCCTCTCTCTAAAATCTGTAAAATCATATCTAAAATAAAATAAAATACCAGTGCCCACTCCTCTGCGAACTCCCACTGCTTTCAGGGACGGCCGAACATGGGCTCAGCGCTTTGCTCTTCCCCTGGAAGCACCATGGGAGCGTCACACACACAAACCCTTTCTTGTATTTCCCTGAAAACACGTAGAGGGGCCTGGGGACACTTTTTGGGAAAACGGGGACATTCTGTGTCCCGACCGCAGTGCGGAAGCACAACCACCGCACCCTCCTGTCGGAACTCGCTCAGCCGCGTGCTGAACACCGGTGAGCTTCGCTGTGTATTAAACAGACGTCCAAAGAGTTGATTCAAAACAAAATTCCTGCCACATTTTAACCACACTTCCCCTTTCAGCAGGGGACTCCCCAGGCTCGGGTTTTCAGTTCTGCTGGCTGCGGTGACACCCGCTGTGGTGACACGGTAACCATGGGCACGTCCCTGCCGGCAGCCAGCGCCCCCCTCCGAGGGATGAGTCAGTACAGGGGGGGGAGCAACTCCAGGAGGGAGGGGCCCTGCTCCCCCAGGTTCCTGGAACTGAAGACGCACCACTTGGCTGACAAACAGGAACACATCACAACGCGATTGCCCTGACAACCATTTACTGAGAAGCCACTACACAAACCGTTACCTCTGATCTTCACAAAACCCTAGACATTAATATCATCGCCTCATTTTCTTGCCAACACCACAGATTAGGAAGCAGCAGAGAACTCAGCCCTGCAGTGAAACTCAAGACACACACACATGTCCTGGGCATCTGTATAAATATAATACAAAAGGCTGGGTGGGACGTAGAATTAAATGGCAGCGTTTTTGCTCAACAGGATGCGACCCATCGGTTTCAACAGGCAGGAGAGAGTCACACAGGATTGGAGTTGGTGCTTTTTTTCTGACAACAGCCAGCGGATCTTTGAGTCCGAAGACCAAGCCTGGAGACGCTACCAGGAAAGCCAGGGATCGTGTCTGAGCATCTCCGGGCTCAGGTCTGCAAGGTGGCACAGTGTGGCTCCTGGCACAGACGGGGGGCACCTCCATCAATTTCAGAATTTGTCCGGCCTCACCAACCATCATTCACACAAGCACATGAGTGTTTTAAAAATAATCCCCTGCAGCCGGCCAGTGTGGCTCAGTGGCTGAGCGCCGACCCATGAACCAAGAGGTCCCTGGTTCGATTCCCAGTCGGGGCACATGCCCGGGTTGCGGGCTTGATCCCCAGGAGGGGGCGTGCGCGAGGCGGCCGACAGGTGTTTCTCATCGATGTTTCTACGTCTCTAGCCCGCTCCCTTCCTCTCTCTCTAAAAATCCATATAAACGTATTTTTTAAGAATTATAATAACAATCCCCTGCCGAGTGCAGCATTACCAGTTCGTAGATGTCCTCCTCGGGCTCCGGCACGTAGACCTGCAGCGTGTTCTCGATCAGAAACTTCAGACGCAGGTAATGAGCGGACGGGTCCAGATGGTGCGTCTGGGACAAAAGGAGGGACATGGAGAGAAAATGTTCAGCAGGAAACCGGAGACCCGGGTCCTCACAGAGCTTCCGGAATAACAGCGACTGTCCCTGCAGGGGGGCGCAAGGCTCTGTGCTTCCCAAAGGTTTACATCTAAAACCCAAATCTTGCCCAGCCGGGCGTGGCCCAGCGGTTGAGCGTCAACCTGGGATCCAGGCGATCGGGGTTCGATTCCCAGTCAGGGCACATGCCCGGGTTGTGGGCTCGATCAATGACTCTCTCATCATTGATGCTTCCATCTCTCTCTCCCCTTCTCCTTTCCTTTCTCTGAAATCAATAAAGATATATTAAAAAATAAAAAATAAAATAAAACCCAAACCTCAGGTAATTCTAATTGGACCTGTTACTGATATCCCACAGGTGCCTCACGGTTCACTTCCGCCCACCTGAGCCATTTAAGCTTCGTGACATGGGTTTTGCAGCAAAGCCCATCAGGCCAAAGGGTCAACGTGGGGGGCGGGGGGGGAGACGTCTCTAATACTCTCAACAATAAATATAAATAAAAACCAAAAAAAATTATCAGACCGAAGAGGCCCCTGAACATCAGTCCAAACACACAGAGGTGGTTAGAGAGGCGACGAGAAAGGCCTGGCGGTGCCGACAGCGACAGGAAAAAGCTGCGCCCGGGCGGTGTGGTTTTTGTAACCACAGCAAACGGGACCGTTGCTAGCAGTTCGTTTGCAAGCAAGTCCGCGTGGAGACAAGACATTCGGGTTCCGGTCGTGTTTATATGGCCCAGTGAGGCTCCCGGGGGGGGGGGCAGACGGGCC